CCCTGATTTATGTGAACCTCTACTAATATCTAGCATGAACCTGGCCTATTTTTTAAAACAAATATAATATTTCCTATGCATTCTTCTGGAAAAAAAAAATTCCTACATTGGGAAACTTCCTGTTCTGACTGGCACTGTATTCTGGATTCTTAAGCAGAAGTATTTTAACTCTTAAGGTTTGAAGCAGATCTCTACTGCAGATGAAACTTACAGGAAAATAATAAGCTGCCTTAAAACTGAGTTAGAGCTTTGGTTAATTCTACCATATCTGGGCTACAAAAATATAGATATCAGAAAGCACCTGTCATTATTTATGTTTCAGATTCAATAGTCTCTATGGAGATGGAGTCATCAAGGTCATGGTTGTCCCAAAAGTGCTTTTCTTTCAAAAGGCAACTGGACTTTCTTGTTTTGCTTGAAGACATTTATTCTTCATTCTCCACTATTCAGTCAGAATTGAAGAAGCTTTTGGATGAGGAGCAAAATGTCTTCAAAACAAAGTCCAGTTGCCTTTTGAAAGAAACATGAGCATGGGCCACCCACACCTAGCTATTCCATATGTAAAACTGCCAATCCCATGATATTCCTATAATGGTTCCATTGAGTCAGGATTTTAGGAAGTTTGTGTAGATATTTCAGAAGATAATTTTCTAGTGACTTTGTCCATGTAAAGAATTTTCTCTGCTATAGCAAGACTTTGTTTATAGTTATTGTACCATTAAAGTAGTCATCTTCTCTCCCCTTTCCACCATCCTTCAGGCTTGGTATTATCACATACTTGTAACTGAAATCAGACGTGTGCTATATCCATTGTATACTCATTTGAAATTGTGGATTCTGAGCACCCAATTTTGAATGCATGCTGCACCTGAAAGCTACCACTGGTCTAGAATGCAATGGTATGATAGATCCATGTTGTTGTTCTGTGAGCTGTACTATACACTAGTCAGCTTCCAGGTGCAATTCACTGGTCATCACCTGTAAAGCCATTCATGACATAGGGCAAGTCATTTGTGGAACTCCCTGTTTGTAATTGAACAATTCCCGGTGGCATCTGTAATGCTTCCATGTTTTATTTTCCCCATAATAGCTATTAGTGAGGTAGTGTCAAGACTGACTCCCGCCCCAGCCACCACCCCACTGGGGAGGCAGGCACTGGCACAAGCAGCCCCAGCGGCAGCTAGTATCCCCATTCAGGCACCCCCTACCAGCAGTCAGGTTGCCGCCTGGATGCATCTTAGTGCAAGACTGACTGCCATCTCCCCTAGCAGTCTAGTTCGATGGGGGAACCTGACAATTTGGCTTCCTCCCTGATCCATGTCTGGAACTACATGAAGTGCTATGGAGCAATGTACCGAATAAGCCTGCCTTGGTCAATGCCATTGCATCAAACCTGGATTGGGATGCAGCGGGATGGCCGGTGTCTGTCCACAACAAGGGGGCTCTGCAAGAGTTTGGATGCTTTCATGTAGATGTTGTGAGACAGATTTGAAGACCCCACAGCAGCCTAGGGTGCAGAAAATTGTATCCGCTCCCTGCGGCAGAGTAAGTTGGCTGGTGGCATCCAAGATTTTGTAGCCTGGAAGTTCTCGAGAAAGATTGGTCTGAGCATATGCTGGTCTACCAATTCTGGGAGGGGCTGAAGAAGCATCTGTATCACAACTGCCTACCCTGGGGTGATGCTCCATAATTTTTAAGCATGTACCAGTTAGCGATGAATGTGGAGTTTGGCCTGATGCACATTGTGCATGAGAACCGATCCCACCGAATGCCCAAGAGACGCCCAGTGCCATGTGGAGGTAGAGGGGGTGCAGCCCCTACCATGGGGGAGAAGCCCCGCAGGAGCCCAGGAATGTGTTTCCTATGTGCCATACCAGCATCTGCACTGTGAGCCCCGGTCCAACCAAACCTGAATAAACCACCCCAAAGCCAAAGGAGAAAACATGGATGGCTCAACAGGTTGCAAAGTCTCTCCCCAATTCAGCAAAAGGGAGGGAACTCTGATCCATGGAAAATCTGGCTAGGTCTTCTATGAAAGCTTCAGCGAATGGGAAGATGACCTGATGGTAAGTGGCACTATCATCCTTATGATGGCCTGGGTGGAGATTTTGGTGGACTTGCACTCAGTGCCTAATTAGCCTTCAGACAGTGAAGTAACAAGGATAGAGGCTGAATAAGTTAAGGTGGCCCATGGGGTTCTCCCAATTAGCTGGCTCATGGGAGGGGCACCAGCAACTTGCCTAAAGGAGCCAGTGAGCCTCAGGGCTGGGATTCAGTAGAGGCTATTTTATTGTGGCTCCTGGAATGACCAAGACCATGGTCCTAGGACTAGCCTGGTTGAAGAAACGGAATCCATCAGTAGATTGGAACAGCAACAAGTGGCGAATGAGGAAGAAAGTGGCTAGCCAGCAGGAGCCAATGAAAAGCCTTGAACGCCAGGCACAAGCTGGCAGTTAGGGAAGTGAAAGTGGAGTCGGGGAGGAGTTAGGGCCACTCGTTCCCTTTGAGTTCTGTGACCTAGCAAAGGTGTTCAGTGAAAAGGAATCAGACATGCTCCCTCCCACAACATTCCTATTGAAATCTTGCTAGGGCTCTGCCCCCTTAAGGACGCCCAGAGCGGATGGCACATTGTGGTCGGCTGGTTCTCATAACAAAATGAACAGAAGTGATTGTTGGATGTAATGTGGGTGGCCTTTGGGGAAAGGGCGGATGAACTATGCATGCGTTTGTGCAGAAAGCCCAGAGCTGGTTTCACCTCTGTGCCAATGTGGATTTATTCAATAAAGTTTATACTCTTGGAAAAATAATGTCTGAGGAGTTAATTTTTCTGGATTTGCCAACTGGACAGTTGACAGGTAGGTTAGATGGAAAGATCTCTGCAACATCCGTCATGCTTTGAGTTTCCTATATGAAATAGTTCCATTTACAGGACTCAGCTTCTCTGTTAAATAGCATGTCCCATGAGATTCAAATAGTCCTAATCCTATTGGCCTTTCTTAAGATATTGAAAATGTAGTTTTCTCTTCAGGGCCCTGAACTAGGGTGTAGGATGAGCCTGTTTACAATGGGAATATGATTGTGTTAGCCTCATGCTCTGTGCTCTTTGTTTTTATTTGTTTGTTGGGGTTTTTTTCTCTCACAGCCCAGAATCCCAATGTGCAAGTGGTGGGTAAATAAATTGATTAAATACATTTTTCTTCACTACTATAAATATTAGGCAGTTTCTTAGTTATGTTATGGCTTACCTTTGGAAGGTAGGCTTAGAAATAAATGCACTAGCTACATCATACAACCTACCTCCCAAGGAATGACTTAGGGAACTTTAGAAAAATTGAATTATTCTAGTTAAGTTGCATTCTGCATCCAGATAAGCATGGATGACATTAAATCTTGAGAAATTAGTTTTAATAATTTGTAAAGCATAAAATCTAATCTCAATTACGCTGACTTAGACATCAATATATCTGTATTCAGTGGGACTCAGTGGATAAATGTGAAGACTGTGGTAATTAGGTTTCCCTTTGTGTGCTTTTCTTTAGGAACAATTGTATCAATTGTTGAGATAGAGCCACAGTTTTTGAAACATCAATAAATAATTACCAACTGGGTCAAATGGGAAACTGTTTATAGGAGATGTAGAAATCAGTACTGAAATTAAGTTTGTTATAATATTAGCCTGTTGAGAAATGACTTCTCTTCCCATTTCTCTTCTTAGGATTTTCAGCAGAGTGTAACAGTGGTACTACTTCAAGATGAACATACCTTAATCTCAGCAGGGGCTGTTGATGGGTAACTTCTATTTCTTCTATTTCCTTTTACTTCTATTTCCAACAATTTTTTTAAAATTCTTTTGAGAAGCTTTTCTCATTTTGGACTGTTTGCTCATGTGAACATTCCTGTAATGAAACTTCATTGAAACTGCATAAAATGCCTCTTACGTGGGGAACAAGGACTTTCTGGGGAGAAAAAACCCCAGCATATTTTCTTATTTAGTTATGTCAATATAAGCCAAGCCATTTGTCAAATGAGTATCCATCCTACATCTGAATCATAGTAGAACTTGGTGAAACACACCCTCCCACATTGTATAGGCTTGAAAGGTATGACGTAGCTGCTGTCTCTCTTAACAATTAAATAAATTAAGAAAATAATGTTGCAATCTTTGGGTACTGTCAATTCTTGAAAGGTGATATCCGGTTAGTAGTAACAAATAATCTTTAATATATTTGTATTGTACATTTAAATCCCTTCAAGGCTGAGTTATATCAGCAGGTGTTATTGTACTAACATAGGCCATTAGGCAGGGTCACATTGCCCCATAAAATGTGATATGTGCCTTGAGGTTGTTCTTCCTCGATCCACAGCTGCTTTTAAATAGCAAGTGAAGGCCATTATTGTGGCACCTTTGCCCAGCTTTAACTGATGCATGAGTTGTAGCCCTCCTTCAATCAGGTTACACTGACTTTGATAATTGACACTTTGATGATTACCTGCCAGGAGTACTGTAATGCACACAGTTGCGGGGTGGGGAGTTTTGTAAATGACCTGGAAGCTACAATTTGTCTACAATGTGTAAGCATTCTTTATACACAATTGTTATATCAACTGTTGAGATAGAGCCACAGTTATTGATAGAAACTGATCAGTTTCTTGCAAGGTAACTCCTGTTGCTGCACTGACCATCACTAAACCTCTGGGCTCAGTGCAGACTGCTGGTAATCTCCTATAAAAGCAATGTGTAATGTAGCACAGGGCTGCATCAGACATTGCTTAATCAGAATTGAGTTGCGCATTTGGGAAGAACATCTTGGGAAGTAACTGTTAATTCTACTTTTGAAGTTAGGACATGAAAAAGTCAACAGGCCTCTGGGCAACCCACACACTTGACCTATTTCCCAGGGTCCACTAAGACCTCTCTCTCTTGGCATTTAGAAAATTACTGAACATAGTTCAATATTTTATTATTGAAAATGGTTTATTTCACTGAGTTGTTGAACCTAGCAAAGTGTTAGTGATATTTGTCTTTGGAGAGAGGTGACTTTTTTAAATATCTTGTAACCCATCCATAATCTTTTGATTTGGGCTAACTATAACTTAAATAAATTAGATAAGTAGACATTCATAGTATGCTTCCTATTTCTCATTGTATATTGTTCCCCTGCTAGCTGAACAAATATGTAGATTAAAGCTATATCCTATCCGTCAATTAGTGTTTTATTCTTGGTCTGAGTATGGTTATCTTCTTTCACATGTTTTGGGACTATGATTCACTGAATTCATATCATATATATTTAGAGAACATCAAACTGAGGAAGGCTTGATCATTGTATGGAATTCTGAAGAATTTTGTTTTCTTAATTTTAGTGTGATCAAAATATGGGATCTGCGCAAGAACTACAATGTATACCGGCAGGAACCAGTGCCCTCCAGAGTTTTCAGCTATCCTGGGAACAGTACCCGTAAACTTGGTATGGCATAACTGAATATTTAAGAAGAAAGACAATCAGGGTCATTACAAAACAAAGCAGATCTTTCTTTGCTTTTGCTGTTTTGTATTCATACATTAGAGTTACACTTTGTGCTGAGGTCAGTTACCAAGATCTGTCTTAGCCTGATTTCAGAACTAGCTTTAACAAACTAATGGAATTAGTGACCCTCTTTGGTTACCTGCTTTGAGAGAATGGGCAGGATGAGCTAATTAGCTAGGTGTCAATAGTGTTCAGTGCTGCCACATTACCTTTTGGGATGGTCTGTGTAAACTGGAATGTTTCCAGGATTGTGGAAAATGATTTTTAAAAAGGTAGTGTTTTGGGAGAGGATACTGTGTTGGTTACTTATGCGATAAGAGGCTGTAAAATTTATTTTCTCGCCCTTGTGAGTTTCAATGTTCCATGATGTCTCTCAGGCAGGTCATTGGGAGTTAAACAACACACTGACAGTATCCAGCTCTTTTACATCTGATTTAATGATAGCAGTTGCCATGCTAGATTAGTGATAGCATTACTAAGGAACTAAATGAATACAAGTGGACTGAATTTCAAACCCCCCCAACAGCAGAATTTCTGTTGGTGAGTGACCTAATGTTGTCATAGTCAAAATCACTCTGTAAAATGTAAATATGACTTGCTATGATGTTAATCAGGACTGAATAATAAGAGCCTGCCTATATGTGTATGTCTTCTCAGTGCTCTGCTCCTTCCTCTGACGTGATGTAGACAGTAGGAGGTGAGGACAGGATTTTGCCGTTTCCTCTTAGGGAATGTTTTTTGGACAGTTTTTTTTCCTGGTGCCAAGCAAAATTTTCCAGTTCCCTGGGCTTTTAATTTTTAAGCAATGATTTAAAACACTTTTAGATACTTCTGATTTCTACCTACTTTTTATATTTTCTATCTGATTTACATGGAGCCAGTTTGGTATGGTGGTTTAAGTAGAAACTGGGAGAGTGAGAGTTTTACTCTACCTTAGAAACAAAGCCAGTTGGATGACTAAGCTAGTCACATTCAGCCCTAGGAAGGAGGCAATGGCAAACTACTTCTTAAAAATCTTTGCCAAGAAAGTTGCAGGGATTTGCTCAGGCAGTCTCTGAAAAATAGTCTCAATTGAATGCAGGAATAGGATCCGATCGGTATAACTACCGATTCTGTTGCTGTGCATCGCGCACGCATGTGCGAGTCGCGCGAGTGCAATTTACAACCTGCTGTGCTGCCCAGACAGCTGAGCAGCGCTGCGTGCAGGTGCACAGTGGTTGGAAAAGCCCTTTTATCCTGCTTTTTCAATCACAGCTGTGCCGCGCAAAGCAGCTGTGGTTGAAAAAGCAGGAAATAAAGGACAGGTAAGAGCCCAGGCGGGTGGGTGGGGCAAAACATCAGCAGACACAGAACCGGTTCTGTGTTTGCTGCTCTTCAGAGCTACCGGTTCTGTAGAGCCGGACAGAACTGGTAGAATCCCACCCTTGAATGAATGTAAGAAAAATAAAATCTGATTTCCAAAAAAATGTTTTTACACTGCAATATCGCATGTGCTAAAATATTTTTTAAAATATCTTTCTCCTTTTATCAAAACCCACAGACTGACTGACAAAGCATAAGAAGTTAGTTTCCCTATAAAAAAAACTCACATGTACCAAAAATGAAAAAATGCATGCTATTCCACCTTCGCAAAAAGGCAAGCCTTCTCTTTGTATTGAAATAACATAAAACGTAGATGAATTTCTCCTCCATACACTGTTTGTACCTTAGTGTTTTATTTGAAAGTGCTTGCTGGAATTTTTGTGTTTAATTACCCTTTAATCTTCCAATAAATACTAATAATCAGATTCCTATTCCTGGGATTAGCTGTTTCTTATCCAGCCTTTAAGAAGGGAAGTCTGACAACAGAATCTTCTGTATTCTAGGATATTCCAATCTTATTTTGGATTCCACTGGTACCAACCTATTTGCTAATTGCACTGATGATAATATATACATGTTCTGTATGCCAAGTCTGAAGAATACTCCAGGTAAGTACTAATGTTTTGGGATACAGGTTATCTGTACAGTACTTAAAAGGTTTAGAAAGCTATGGCTGATGCACTTACTGTATCTCTGGCAGTAGTACCATACGCATTTCCAGGAAAAGTAAGTCCCATATATTTGATATATCTTTTGCCAAGCTGAATGTCCATAGAATTGCAGTGTGTAGTAGATTATACTTTATATACAAATCTATCAGGACAGCTTCTATGAATTGCAGTATGAAAGTTTATAACCCCTACAAATGTCTTCATACTCTGTTTTCCTTTAGACAAACAAGCTCAGTTGTCTGAGGATTACTTGTTTATCTTTTCTCTGTGTTATAGTCATTAGCGACCTTTTATATTAATCTCGAGTGGAACTATTACATCATATGTCAGTGAATTCCTTTGTTAATTGTGTTTATCTCAAGCAAGCCTTGTTGATTTATCATCTTCAGAGTCTGCAAAATTACGTCTCAGACCACAAGAAAACAGCAAATACTGAAAGATTGACTTAAATATGTTTGGAATAGTGGGTATTATTAAGTTTTAATTGCTCTTTTCTTCCTCTTTGGAAGGAAGTAAAATGAACTGTCCATGGAAATCTGTCTACATTCCAACAATCTACCTTTATGCTATATTCTGTAATTCTGCAAGAGTCAGAAGGTTCAGTTGATTTTGGTAAATTGGGTTTTCTGAAGGATAGATGTGGCAACTCCACAATTAGAATATTTTGAAAATGTAGGAAAATGCTTTTTTTTTTTTTTTTGCTATGGAAGTATCACTGATAAGGACTTGGATTTTGAGAAAAGGGGGAAAGTCAGATAAGGAAGGTATTTACATTCATTTTTATTTAAGTGTTTCTAATGGAAGGCTACCAAGCAGAAAGAAAAAAATCCAGACTACACTGGAAAACTGGTTCAATTTTTGCTAGCATCTATAAAGATTTCTAATGCTTGAATTGTAATTTAGCCTAAATTGATTGATATAGTACAAATTGGTGGATCTTAGTTTTTCTCTTGTTCTACCTATTTCTCTATTTTTGTTCAAACAATATTGCAAAATGCTGTATGCATCTTGGGAATTGCAATAGCATCTTGTTTTATCAGAACATTGCACATATATCTACTTGCTTACTCATAGCTCCAAAACTATGCAGTTTTATAAAGCTGCCTTAATAGTAGCACGGAGTTAATTATGAATTACTGTAGGTGAATTGATGTAATTGTAATTTTTCCTCAACCTGATGCTTTCCGTATATATTTCAAATGCAGTCCCCAGAATTTTCAGCCTCGATACACCTAGCAGGTACCAGAATAAAGAAAGCTGCTCTAAATGGTCAAATTCATTTCTTGATTCTGTCACTCTACTCCTACTAGAAGAAGATGATTGTTTTGGATTTCAAGGCCCAGATACAAGAGAGATTAAAAATTAACTTGGATCTACCTATCCTAACTGTCATGATCTCTTTCAAGTCAAGAGCATTCAAACACAGAAGAGCCTGCACTGGACAAATGTCAGCCTGAGGAATTGGAGAGCCATTAACTACCTCTGGTCAACCTTGTCAATCATTTGGGAGAATCAGTATGAATCAGATGACAGAGGTGCCAATCCCAAGCAGTGCTATCCCTGATAACATGCTACAAACTCCAGAGAACTAAGAATGGCATGTTCTTAGAGGAATTCTGCTTAACTCATTGAGATACCAACTAGCAATAGCCTTAATTGAACCTACATTACAACAACTATCAGCAATTGGTTTTTCCATAGGGGGCTACTGCTTAAATGTTCTATATTTTCATGACTTTGAATCCCCAGTAGAATAGAATAGAATAGAATAGAATTCTTTATTGGCCAAGTATGGTTGGACACACAAGGAATTTGTCTTGTACCATCCGAATCTCAATTTCTTTGGTTCCAGAATTGGCTGGCTATCCTGATGCCTAGACCTTTCAACTGCTTCTGGATTTATGATTTACCCATGTTCTGATTTGACTTTGGACTTTTACAGGCAAGACTTTGATTTCCTGTTTAGCACTGCTAAGATGTGTGAGCAATTGCACTCTGCCTACTAAAGCCTGAAAATGCTTGCTTATCCTACTCTGGGTGTGTTCAACCTGAAACAGGACAAAGCAACATGCTAATTGCTCTGACAGATGACAACAAGAAGGCAGATCAAGCATCTCTTATGGTTCCCTTAGAAAAGACAAATGGGCAACTCTTGGTGTTATAAAACAATGGGAAAATATTCTGCTGAATTTGTATGCTGAGAAAATGGTAAAATTAGTGGCCAATCTCCAGAACTAAAGGCGTTTCCATTACTGGTAGCAATTCTGATGCAGGCTTGAAATAACATGGTTTGAAACCATGTTTAGACAGCACTATGTTGGAGAAAGTTAGATTATAATATTTATATCCATAAACATCTATCCATCTACATCTAACAGGTTTTCTTTTCAATACTGATCAGAAGGTCTCTAACTACCTGTGCTGAGTATAGGAATCTGACATCGCACTGTCCATTGCAGAATGTCCATTGCACACAACTCCCTTTGCTGGTGACAACTCAGAGTTCTTTGTGGCTTTAGTTTTAAAGTTTAAAAATAGCCAAGTAACCCATATCTCTATGTCACTGCACATCCTTCTTAACAAAATAAGATACCAGTTTCAGGAAATGAAAAAAGCAATAGTTTCATATAATTGAAACTGGAAACATTTTACACACCTTTGGTGGCAAATTTTATTTTGCTGCATTGATTAAATTTTATGCATCCCATGTTCCTTTTCCTTTGATTGTGAGTATTCCATGTTTGTCCAAATATCTTAGCTGCTGGTACTAGCTCTTTAAGAAAATTGCCTGAGTTGAAAAAGTATCTTAATTATTTCTCATATTACTTAATTGTGGTTATATTTTTAGCCTGTTATCTTATTGTTCCTCTTTTACTTTAAAGCAATGTTTGTCCATTGTGAAGTTATTATAACCATACAAATAGAAACCACAGGCTATTAAATCTAAGCCTGCATAATGCAAGAATCCAAATAACTTTCAGATAGCTCTCTGGCTTCACTGACTTAAATCCAGTGAAGAGGAGCTGTCAGCTCTTTGGGTAATTTATTTCACTTACAAATTGCTCTTACTATTGAAAGATTTTCCTAACATTCAGTTGGAATTTGTCCTGTAGCTTAAAACCATTATTCTGTGCCCTGTACTCTGGGATAAAAGAGATCTTTCCCTTCTTCTGTATTTGCACATATTGATGTGTAAACATCTCAGTTCCTTCAAACTTCTCTTATAGGCTTTAGTTTTCTCGTCCCCTGAGCTTATCGTTAGTCCTGAATGTTTTCTAGTTTTTCTCAATTCTTAAATATGGTTCCCAGGATTAGACAGTGTTTCTCAAGTGGAATCTGATAACACAGAATAAAACAGAAGGATTACTCTAGGATATAAAAGGTATATAGATAGTCCTCGACTTACAACAGTTCATTTAGTGAATGTTACAATGGAACTGAAAAAAGTGACCATTTTTCACACAGCCATTGCAGCATCTCCATAATCACATGATCAAAATTTGGATGCATGGCAATTGACCCATGTTTATGATGGTTGCAGTGTCCCAGAGTCATGTAATCATCTTTTGCGACCTGACCAAAAAAAGCCCGTGGGGAAGCCAGATTCACCTAAACAACCATGTTACTAACTTAACAACTGCAGTGATTCATTTAACAAGTATGGCAAGAAAGGTCATAAAGTGGGCAAAACTCACGTAACAACTGTCTCACTTGGCAACAGAAATTTTGGGCTCTTTGGAGTTACAATTGTGGTAAGTCAAGGATTACCTCTACTTCCATTGATGCAACCTGAATCAAATACGTATTTTTGTGACCATATCACAGTACTGGCCCATATTCAGATTCGCAGCTAGCTACTTTTCTATTTTTTCCCTTAAGTAATATTAACACATCAGATGTTCATCAAATTGTACTTCTTTATTTTATTTGTTTCCTAATTGAAATTTTTCATTTTTATGTGTAATTTAGTTATTGAAGAGCATAGAACCCAGGTATCTCTCTCAGAACCTTCCCACTTATCATTGTTATCCAAACTCATCAGTACTTTCCAGCCTCTTCTTTTCCCTTCTTCTGAAGTTAGGCACATGTGCTCTCTTCTACTTTGGCACTTCATCAGTTTTCCAGGATAAAATATAATACATGAAGGTGCAGCCAGACAATCAATTACTTTCTTCAGTTCACTGGGATGAAATTAATCTGCCTCTGGAGATTAATATTTATTCAAAATTGAGAAAATTTCTTTACTCCTTGCAGCTTCCTAATAGAATACATATTTGTTGAAGAAAACTGACCCAAAATAGCTGAGTGTGTTTTTTCTTTCTTGTTATGCTTATTGCCTTCTTCACTTAATAACAGGTATATCAATTCTTTACCTTTATTTTGAAATTTAATAATTAAATTGTTAATTCTTGTTAATTGTAATATTCTTTGTTAAGCTCTTTTTTTTGCTTTTCCTTTCCAGTTCAGGGCTATTGTCTATATACTTTTCCTTTGTGATCTGACTTCTTTACATCATCTATATACATCCTATTTATTTTTAATTCTTGACCATTCAAAGGGAGGAGTAATTTGTATTTGAATGTCCTAAAATCTCAATTTATATCCTTTTGGTAATTATGTAATGTATACAAGTAAAGGCCTTGGCAATAAAACTTTGATTAATCTGCTTCTGAGATGGTACTAAATGGTTTAGAGCCTTCTCTATGTAAAATACTATGTGATGTAAAGGATTTATCTTCACATTCAGCTCTAAGTTGAATATGGTTGTTTTTCTTTGTTTTTTGTTGAATTGCAGTGTCAGTTTTCAGTGGACATCAAAATTCCAGCTTCTATGTCAAATCCAGCATTAGCCCAGATAACCAGTTCTTAATCAGTGGGTCAAGTGACCAGTGTGCCTATATCTGGAAGGTAAGCAGTGTTGGCTTTGACCACAACATTGCTATGTTATTTTTATGTTCATTTTGCACAGCAAAGATTGATATGTAGGCACAGAGGGAAGATAATAAGATTCACTGAACCATGTTTCCAGCATACTGTGTCTAAAGTACACAGCTGTCAAACCTGAATACAAGTCCAGACAGAAAACAGAGCTAAGTTCCTACCTTTACCATCTCTGTATTTCTGGTTGCTGATCTTAATCTGGTTTTAATACGCCTTTAAAAATCTCTTTTCAGTTGTTTTTCAGCAACTACAACAAGCTGGAAGTTCTTGCTTTATATTTAACAAGAGTATACATTAACCAAAGTTTAATAGTCATAATTGTTTTTATTTTTTTAAGCTAATCATTTCCCAAGGTTTGTAAACTCCGTCACAATTAGGTTTCTTTCACTTCTCCTATCTCCATGATCCTCAATTTCCAGCAGTTAAGATTTTATTATGATAGTTCAGTTAGAGTTTTTTGTAACATTTGCCAGTATCAGCTGGCAGCTCAGAAACTTAGTTTACATGCCAAGCTTTCTGTGGAGAGATGCATCCAGTGACACATTAAGGTATTTCAGGTTAACCTATCTAATATAAAATAAGCAAAATTAAGTGCTTTATATTAAATTAGATTTCTAAAATAATCCAATACAATTTTTAAAAACTCATTTAAATCAGTAGGCATGTTATTTAATTTTAGAACAACCTCCTTTTGTTTTGCATTTCATTCTCTTGACCTAGTATTCAGGAAGCCTAACTGAGTGCTCCTTAAACATTTTCTAAGAACCTTGAGAAATTGCTTTCTCAATATTTTTGATTCCCTAGGTGTCTTGAATTATTAACATCAAATATTAACATTTTAATGGCTCTAGGATTGTTTCATCACCACCTAGTTACCAATGTTTGCATATTTCTTCTTATCACAAAGTTTCCTCTTCAAAACATTTTCCCCAAAAGGATGGAATTCTCAAAATATAAACATTCAAGGCAAAATATGAAGCATAAACTGTTTCATGCTAACATCTGCATAATTTTTGAGTTATACAATTTGTTTACTTAAAACATTTATATAGTTGCCTATTTTAAAAACAACTCTGGTAGCTTGCAACCAATAAATATATATATTGTAAAACTAACAGCAATAAAACTGAAAACAGGAAAACCTGGTGTCACGGCCACACTTCTCTGATGCATTCACATTCTTGTCCAGTCCTGACTTCACCCTATCGCAAAACTTGGGGGAGAAGCTAGGTTTTAAGTGGAAGGATAGAACGGTAGAGGCTGTCAGATCTTGGGGGAAGGAAGCAATATTCAAAGTGCGGCCTCACTACTGCAGTAAAGAGTAATACCATCAGTTCCGGTGGTCTTAATGCTGTCCCGGTGTTGATGCTACCTAGGACTGCATTGACCTTTTTGTAGCTGCAGCACACTGCTGAGCCATACTTAAGCAGTGGTCCAGTATGACACCTAGATCCCTCTCATAAGCACTACTATTGAGCCAGGTATAGAATTCATGTGTGATAGCTTATCCTGAGAACTTGAAAAAATAATCACAAATTTATGTTGATTTGATTGACATCACAAGATCTGTGTATGTATTTTAAAGATTTTAAATTGAGAAAATATAACAGTCTTAAAGCTCATCAGCTTTACATGTTAGGATATATGTGTAAAAGACCAAGGGAAATGGCTTTAAAAATCAAGGTCAAAATCTGGAATAATGATACTTGGACCATATTACTAGTGGCTGGAAGTAGAGGTTCAGCTGCATAATTCATCAGCTTATAATGAAAAATAGGAAAAACTTAACACTGGGTAAAAAAAATTCAAAATTTGGACTTTATAGTATTGATCTTAGTTTTACCCATAATCTGGATTTAACTTTTGCATATTTTGAATATACAATTTATCTTACAGATGTAGCTACAATGTTTATACATTTCTTCAGGATGTGTTTGGTTTCTCTACTTCCTTTTGTCCTTTAACCAACAATACATGATAGAAGCTCTTTGACAATTTGCATCTGTTTTCTCTAACCTGAATTGTCTATATTTATTACGGTACAGTTTACAGCTAAGAATGACTGCAGAGATCCAGCCAATTTGGGTATCCATCAGGGATGGTTTCTGTAGTAAAAGCAGGGAGTAATGAGAATTCTCCATTGAATGAAATCAATGGTTAGATGTCTAGAAGATCAAGTGTCCTACTTTGAATTGTGTTCATTGTACTAATAATCAAGAATCTTTCCTGATACTTTTTTTCCCCCTTGTGTCTATATATAGGTATCTGAACCACAACTTCCTCCAATGGTACTTCATGGCCACCTGCAAGAGGTCACTTCTGTCGCCTGGTGTCCATCTGATTTCACTAAGGTTTCTTTCTGGTGTTTTGTCATTTTTTGTTTTGTTATTGTTCTATTCCATTTTCTCTTTTTGCAAAAGGAAACCTGACTATTTTCTCTTGTTTTTAAAACATGGATAGCTATTTTTAAAGGTTCTTTATTCCAAGCATTTTTTTCTTCCTATTTCCTTATATACTTCATGCTTTCCCCAGAAATCTTTGGTCCTCAAGTGGCTTATCCTACTCCTTTTTATCATGCAGATTAAACATGTATATATAAATCAGTTCTTGCTTTATTGTAAAGTGTAATGTAATGAAATGGTTGTCTGATCAGAAGTAAGAACACTGAGTTTGATAGGGCTTCCTAAGTGAATGCAGCATGGCTGATTACTTTTTTTGTAGGCTGAGGCCTTACTTTTTTTGTAGGCTGAGGCCTGCATCGCCTCTGTATATAAGATACATGGGCAATCCTAAGAAAAAAAATTACTTAGCAATATTTAATTCCATTAATGGGTGATACTGATGACTTTTAGGGAGTGTTCCTTAAAAGAGATATCAGTTTCATCCAGTGTGGGTACTGTAAATTGGATAGTAAAATCCATATACAGCCAGTAATTTGCCCACTCTTTTATATTCCATATTTTAAACAGTACAATATTTGTCATGCCATTTTGCAGATTTCCACTTGTTCAGATGACAACACTATCAAAATTTGGCGCTTGAGGCAAAACATCAAAGAAAAGACCTGGACAGACAAAACCAGATTGGTGGGTTGGACTAATCAAAAGACCTTAGCAGAACAAAACAAAATAGGTAAGGCCTTGTGAATTAATGATCACTTTTCTCTAATGTGGATTTAGATCTTAGAAAACTTATTTACAAAATAAATTACAAAATATAATTTATTTCTAATTTTCTCTAAATTCAGCCTATATGAATCATACAATAATCTGTATAAATCATAAAGAACATCACTTTTATGGTGCAATGTATACTAATAATGAGAAGAGCTTAAAAACTGCATAGGCCCTACTGTAATTCTCATACACAACAAATTTGTTGTATATATTTGTCAAAATTAAAAATATACAAAACCAAAAAATGGCAGTAGAAATCAAAAGAATATATAAAATTGGGTTTTATTGTAAAATATTCCAGCAAATAAACCTGTTTCAATTAATATAAAGATTTCTGAAGTAGTTTTCCTAGAAATAGGTTAGTTTAATAATCAGTGCAATATTTCAAATTCTAAATCTATCTGATGCTGAACATGTTATAGATTGTTTCCAGCATCCCAAATATAAAAATTAACACATGGTTCTATCTAAACAAATGCATTAATTTCTTCAAACAATATCTGTCATGCAACAAATGAGATGATATTTCTCTAGTATTTTTTTACTAAATAATCAGACTGCTTTTTATTTAAAAAATGCATCACCACCTGCAAAGATTTTGGGGATATCAACACGCTTCTCTGTGTTGAAGGAAGGTACTGTTTCTCCAAGAATGAAGTATTCTGTTATATTTAAATGATAAAGGAGAAATATAGTGATAAAATGAGATGACCTGTAGAAAATTCAGTCCCTCTTTAAGTGTGTGGAATTCATAAGTGTTTGAAGAACTCCCAGAGTTTCATGTATTTTATATCATAGAATGCCAGATACCTATGATATTATAATAGCAAAAGCTGTATTCTGTACGTGGTTAGTGTTAATGAATTCTTAACTAATCATGTGATATTTGATGAGAAAGATTTATTTATGTATTGCATATCAAAAGCAATCTAAGTATTTAATTGTCAAATATGGTTTCCTTATTCAGACCACACTCCTATAATAATAAAATTGTTTTTAATCTACAGTAATTCTTTGGAGTTTGTCCAAATGTTGGATTATAGTTATATGGCATTGCATTGATCGTCTTAAACTAGACTTCTTTACCATTTCCCTCACCCTCGGTCCCACAAAGGACAGAAATAGAAAAGCTATTCCTGTTATGTATATTTTTGCTACTTTATATATTGCCATTGGTGCATGAATAGCATTTAACAGTTGTGGCAATGATATTTCTTTTGACCTTATGTGCATTGCATAAGAAGAATGTCATTCTTAACTTACTTGCAAAGAGGGGTAAACTTCCAGGGTAAAGAATGTATTGTTAGACATTAATCTTTAAACTTAGTGTTACAAGAGTGTCTTCACTTCTATCTATTGACTGCAACTCACAGCACAATCATATGTGATATAAATCCTTTTTATCTCTCTTTTACAAAGAAGTTCCCAAAAAATGAATTATGGTGATGTATGAGTGAGCTTTGCAAATGGCATATTTCTAGTTGTAGGAATGGCAGTAAATTGTTCTGTAAACATAAAATTCCTATGCAGGAAACTTGCAGAACAATAGGAGGGTATGTGCCAGTTCTCTTTCATGCTGCGAGTATCTCACGTGCACATATACATCATTGTTCCCTTAGGAAACTTAGTATAAAAGAATCACTTCCTATTCCCATAGACAAAGAAGAGTGCTATTTAATCCTTTGGTTTGAAAACTGTGATATGCATTCTGCATCTTTATAAAGTTGGCAGTAGTATTATATATATCCTTCATTTTCTCCTGAAACAGCTTAGAAATGGAAAAGGAAGTCCATGAACTCAGCAAACATAAGCAGGCTTTCTTTTGAAACCTTGGTTTGTTGAATACAAAGCATATGCTAAATACACAAAATAGTTATTTGCACTGATTCATATTGTCTTAACCTCAGTTCTATTTCAGGGCTATCTAGATAAAAGCATGCAAGCTGTTTGTACTTCCTCCCTCCTCCCATTCACTGACAGAGACAGTGCTACTGTGGCTACCTAGGAATTATATATGACCAGATTTTGCTAGCAGGCTTTCTGAAATTTTAATATTTGGAAAAGGGATACAGATATGTTTACCATTTATTTTTATATTTGAGAATGTAAAGGCAAATTCTCCAAGCAATTCCTTGAGCAAGGCCTTTGTTCTTTGTGGAAGTGCCTGATTTCTTCAGATTTATCATTTTGTCTTTTACCACAAAACCCTTGCCAAGATGCATTGAATTTTCCTAGAAATAAAGTATTTCTAAATAACTTTATACACATTTTCCTAAGTAGCAATTCTCAGGTTGTCTACTAAGAAAACACAGGAAAAAAAAAACCCTTCAAATCCGAGTCATTTAGATACTAAATATTTAAATAAGTTTAGTGTGCAACATTGCTATATTTTCCCTCATGTTATTTTATCTTCACTAAAGCTGCTTTATTTTCCTTCTAGAAGTTCTTAGCAGCAGGCATGGTACTCCACCTAAAGTTCTTCCAACAGGCAGCCCTCCTATTTCTTCACCACAGCCAGCTGCTTGTGCTCCAACTTACACGGGAGATCTTCCACTTCCTACCAACACACCAACATCATCTTCTGCCAAGACACCAACCATCTCAATTTGCACCTTCACTTCTGCAAAGCAGAAAGTCACTTCAAGCACCTTATCAAAACTAACACTTTCCTCAACTACGTCCATTCAACAGTGGGCTACGAAGACTCCAAATTCATCTCCACCTATAAAGGAAACAAAGATAGTTTCTCCACAAATAGCTGCAGCAGATATTCCTGACACTGCCTTTGCTTCCACCTCACCACATCCGAGGTCAGAAACACGTGCCAAGAGAAGGTTAGAATCCAGTAGGGAAGAAAATATGATGTGTCTCAAAATTTGTAACTGTATGACTGAACATCATCCAGAGTCTAAGAAATCCAGACAAGAACAGTTCACTTTGGCAGCAAGTTCAAAGCCTTGTAGAGGAAACTACCTTACTCTTAATGGAGAAGTACAGAATATTCAAAGCTTGAAAGAGCCCTTTTCTCCTAGTAGTCCTTGTTCTTCTGCCACTTGTCTAAATTATCCACATCTTATGGAGACACCTTGTGAGAAGATGGTTGACAAGGAGAATGGTTCTACTGACAAAAGAACCTGGCTGTCTGATTTGGGAAATAAACTACGAACTAACAAAACGAATAACTCCAGTGGGTCATCCTCACCATTACGGAATCCAAGCACAAAACGAATGGAAGCTAGGACAGGAGCTACATCACCAGGGCCTGTAAGTGAAACACCTATTTTAATTTGGTCAAAATTCTTCTTACAAGTATTATACATTATAGTAAAAACACCATCCATGCTAACAAGTAGAAAAATAATCTCTGCTATAAAAAGTAGGAAGAGATAAGGAGAGAGGACTAGTTACCAAATTAAGTCAGTATTATATAGCCAAAGAGCATCACTCTGGTGCATAAGAAGCAAAGATGGGGAAGTAGCCCATGCTTGGGAGCACATAAACAGTTTGAAGAATCTTTAATGCTGACTTATGAAGTAGGGATATTCAATTGTCAGAAATTAAGTTTCTCAGTTTCCAAGACTGAGAATTAAAGTATAAACAGAACTTCTGCCTCCCACATAGCTCAATTAGCTCTGCAGGTCAGTTTTTTTATACAGCACATGTTTGTGCATGTAGAAATATGGAGTTTCTAATCTTTATCTACAGAGTTTGGGTGAATTTTATACTTGCTGTCTTTTGTTCTACGTTCTAAAACTAATGGCAAGGCTGTATAGCATAAATCTTTAATGGTATAGAGATGATGTTTTTATTTTCAAGGTGTAAGGCTAGTAAATGTACTATTGTTGGGTTTTTAAATCCTGCCCCCACTCCAAGCAGGAAAGTATACTATGTGATTGAATGTTTTGCTAGATGATTATTTCTTTTGTCCAAGAGGATTGGTTTCTGTCTGTCTCTTTTTGATAATGGATAGATCTGATAGTGATACTGTTTACCACTTTCACATCTTGTTACTAGATGTGTACAAACAAACAACACATAAACTGGGTGTTGCTTTAATTCGTGCACTAAAAAGGAAGTTGGCTTCTATAGTGAAATCTGTTGTATAAGCCAGGCAGGTCCATTAGGTCACGCCATCACCACCTGGAGCACCAGGTCTGCCCAGCCCGAAGGAGGCAAAGCAGCCAGCTAGAAAGGCCGAGTGAAAATGGTAAAAGCACGCCCATTCTCACCAGGCAAAAGGCAGCCACTGCGAGCGGGGAAAGCTCGATCCGCATTGGCTCTGTGGCCGCCCAAGCCCAGCCGGGATCGCATGCCTCCCTCCATCTCTGCTGGGCCTGGGTAACCAGGGCTCCGATTGGGATCTGGCTTTCCCCCTCACGGTGGCCATTTTTTGCCTGCTGGGCCTAGGTGTGCTATACCACTTCTACTCAGCCTTTCTAGTGGCTACTTTGCCTCCTTCGTGCTGGGCAGGCCTGGTGCTATGAGCTGCGCTTTCCAGGAACGCTGGCCAAGCAGGGAATTTGGCTGAAATCCTCAGCTTGCAATGGAGATGCAGTGGGGGAAAGGTGGGGAGCCTGCAAGACAGAAGGTTGCCTTCAGTCCAGGGAAGGGACCACAGCCTGGGGGGCTCCATCTGAAGGAACTGCGTCTGTCAGGCAGCACCCCAAAAGCACTCTGGAGCTGCTGCTTGCAGGGCAGGGCGGGGCTCAGCTTTCCTTGCTGAGCAGTCCCGCTGAAGGAGGTGCATCACTACTCCTGGCAGCTCCTGGGTGGCGACTCTGCCACTACTCGGCAGACTCACCCAGCCCAAAAGAGGCAAAGTGACTAGCTAGAAAGACGCGTTCCACTTACAAACCCGATGCACCGAGGCCACCAGTAGCTCAGGCCCAGGCCCAGGCCCAAGAGGCAAAAAAAGGCCACCGAGAGTGGGGAAAACAAGATTCCCATCGGAGCCCTGGTTACCCAGGCCAAGCAGAGATGTGGGGGGAAGGCATGTGATCCCAGCTGGGCTTGGGTGGCCATAGCGCCGATGTGGATCGAGCTTTCCCCGCTCGCAGTGGCCACCTTTTGCCTGCTGAGAATGGGCATGCTTTTACCACTTCTACTCGGCCTTTCTAGCTGGCTGCTTTGCTTCCTTCTGGCTGGGTGGGTCTGCAAGCTGATCTGGCCCTCAATAAAATTGAGTTTGACAGCCCTGGTGTAAGCCTTCTTAGATTGATTTAGAGTACCCTACTAGACACGACTGCTGATTAACTTCTGGCTACATAAGAAATCATGTATGATAATTAGTTAGCTGCTAATGTAGAGAAATTGATTAGAATGACTTTGGAAAGGACAAAACTAAAGATGAAAACTTTTATGCTGATAATTATATTTGACTAGATTTTTTGTTGTGTTTTAATCTTACAGATTATAACTACAATAACAATGAGGAAGATTTGTTCATACTTCGAGCGAAAGTCGCAAAAAAACTAAAGAACTATGAGTGTACCTTAATGATGAAACATGCTTTTTATTAACCCAGATGGATGTAGTTTTATTCACAAAAAAGATTCCCATGCATTTTAATTAAAACTGCTTCCTGTGGTTTTTTTTTCTATTTACTGTCTTGCATTTAATTCGTTAGGACACGAATTAAATGGAGAAACGGGTTCAATGAATGAAACAGCCAATCCCTTTGATTTAAGATTATTTTTTTATGGTAAATTGCAGAAAATATTTTTTCAAACCTTTTTTGAGTATACTTTTACCTATTTGAATGTACTTTCAATTGTTAAATTAACACATAATGCAAAACAAATCATCCATTCAAGAATGCTTTACTTGATCTGCCTGATACTAAAGGAAATGCCTTTATTTTATGCTTCACAGTTTCCCATTGGTGTAAAATATTTTCTTATAAAGTACACTTTTCTTAACATTGCAGTTCTTTTTCTTCTTTTTCAGTGGAGCAGATAATAAACAGGAGGGACAAAAACATACTGCTCACTCCTGCAGGAAATCTGACACTTGAAGTGGTGAAAGCTAAATTTTTGGCTCCATGATTGTTTTGTATTGAGCATTTTCCTTTTCACAGCATACTGAAGTTGCTAAAATTGACATACGTTGCCATGTAGATCACAGTAGGAATATATAAATTATTAAAACTGTCTAGAAAAAAGTGTAATTTCATATCAAGTGATAATGTAGCATTTCTCTTCAGTATTTCCTTGACATATGAAGTAATCAGCTGTATTATAACTAAATAAATGTATAGTCCTGGTGAAAAAGGGGGAACTTTATTTTTTTTTCTTTGTAAGCCTCCTAGAATCTCTTACAAAGGTGAGATGGGTGGCAAACAAGTCAAATAAATAAATAAATCAACAACTCCCAAGGTCACTCAGTCATTGGCTCACTATAGAAAGTAATTGTATCTTTTAAATCATTTGCTTTAAATATCTTCCTATATGGACTGACTAGTGACTGCTAATTCAGATCATGTCCATATTAATCATCTGCATGGATGTGCTGAGATTCTGTATTCATTCGTTCTTTGCTCTTGCATAATTGCCAGAATTATTTCTGGTTAGCATATTTTGATGTTTTCAATAATTGTTCCTTCTCAGTATTTGGTATGTATTTACCTATTTAAGCTAATTAAGTTGTTAGAAATGGGCCTCTCCTCTCACATCTGCTGTTGGATAAAGGACTTTCCTACTAACAGACCCCAAACTGTTAGGATTGGCAGCTATTTTTCCTCCACTCTTGCTCTCAGCACTGGTTCTCCACAGGTCTGTGTGCTGAGCCCCCTTTTGTATTCACTCTACACCTAGGACTGCACTCCCTCTTGTCCCACTAACTCTATAATAAATTTTGCAGACAACACCACGTTGGTGGGACTCGTATCAGGAGAAGACGAGACGGCCTATAGGTCAGAGGTTCTCAGGCTGGTCTTATGGTGCAAGAGTCATAACCTCACCCTGAACATCAAAAAGACCAAAGAATTGATTATAGACTTCAGACGATGCAAAACAGACCCTCTCCCACTATATATCAATGGAGTCTGTGTGGAAAGAGTTCATAGTTTTAAATTTCTAGGAACTCATATTTCCGACAACCTTACTTGGTCAGTCCACACTATGGCCACTGCAAAGAAGGCCCAGCAGCACCTGCACTTTCTGAGGCTGCTGAAAAAAGAGTGGCCTGGGTGAGAAGTTGCCGGTTACTTTTTACCATTCTACCATCGAGAGCATTTTGGCATACTGTAACGGTGTGGTATGCTGGATGCTCTGTAGTGGATAAGAAGATGCTCCAGAGAGTTATAAACACAGCACAAAAAATCATCGCTTGCTCTCTTTCTTCTTTGGAAGAGATTGCGAAGACCAGACTCCTCTCTAGAGCACTAAAAATCTCCACAGACCGTTCTCATCCTGGATATTCATATTTTGAACTTACCATCAGGGAGGCGTTTTGGTGTCTTAAAATGAGGACTAATAGACTGAGAAACAGGTTCTTTTCCAAGGCAATAATTGTCTTGAATCAAACAATGCATATGTGATTTAGCCCTATGTATGTAGTGGCATTTTTAAACTATCTAACTTACTATATGTTTTAGATAGGTTTTAGACTAGGTTTTTGATTATTATTTGATTATTTTAAATTTTAAATACTCTAGTGTGATTGTGATGTGGTGTTTCGGACACTGCTGGAGTAGCTTTCAAATTTCATTGCATTTGTAGAATGCAATGACAATAAAGATATTCTATTCTAATGAATGTACTACATCTGCTTTCTTCAGATTTACTTGGGCAGCAGCGAACTGATATTTGTTACAAGTGATCTTAACACCAGTCATCCTTCTGAAATTCATTTCTGTGTTGCTGCAAGATGCATTTTGCAACTTAGAGCTCTGCAGGCTGTTCCTATTGTGCAGAAAAGAGCAGCAAAGATGATTAGGGGACTGGATGTTAAAATACATGAAGAACAGTTGCTGGAATTGGGTATGTCTAGTTTAATGAAAAGAAGGATTAAGGGTGACACGATAACAGTGTTCCAATATCCCAGGGGTTGCCACAAAGAAGAGGGAGTCAAGCTATTCTCCAAAGCACCTGAGGGCAAGACAAGAAGCAATGGGTAGAAACTAATCAAGGAGAGAACCAACCTAGAACTAAGGAGAAATTTCTTGATAGCACAATTAATCAGTGGAACAACTTGCCTCCAGAAGTTTTAAACACTCCAACACTGGAAGTTTTTAAGAAGACATTGGGCAACCATTTGTTTGAGATGGTATGGGGCAGGGGTGTCAAGCTTATGGCCCACAGGCTGAATGCATCACACGGCCACGGCCACCCCAGCTCCGCAAAGGCAAAAACTTGCAATATGTCACATGATGCAATTGCGTTTGACACCCATGGTATAGGGTTTCTTGCCTAAGCAGGGGGTTGGACTAGAAGACCTCCAAGATCCCTTCCAATTCTGTTATTCTGTTCTATGCTCTGCTATTCTATTCTATGCCATTTTATTCATTTGATTTCTGTGTGTCACTATAAAAGTTTAGTTAAGTATCTATGTTCATAGAAAGAAGATACAATCTGTCCCAAATGCTGATATTTCTTTTGCACATGAAACAAAGTTTCTCATACACCTAATAAACATTAGGAAAATGAGACAAGTTTATCTACCTTTGTTGAATGTTTGGCTTGACAGGAGTGTGCTAGACTATACAATCCCTGATTCAATTGCATTTCTGCACGGGTTTTTTATTTCTCTAATATTACTCCAGGAGTAATTATTCAATTAAATTGCTTAAGTACTTTAGATTAAACATTGATTGACATTGGTATTCTACTGCACCTACAAGGTAATCAGGTAAAAACTCAACTGAGTTTTTTCTCACATTTTCTGTGTGATATTGTTTCTGGCAATTTTTAAGGGCCCTGCTATAAGGCTTATGTCATTAAGTTTAAGAAGAAAGTAGGATATATTTCTACTGTCATTAAAAACCCTGTAAGCATTTGATTCAACCTTATATTTGCCTGGCATTCTCCTAGACATATTCATTTGTCTACCTATAGGAAGTGGCTGGGTGTGACATCTTTATGTGTGCTATTGGATAAATACCGTTGTTATTTTATATAAAGGGAAAATAGTACAAATGATATAAGAACAGGGGAATTAGTTTGCTAAAAGTTGTTTCTCAGAATTCTGATAGGAAGGGTATGAGAGGCGAGTGAAAGCAGGGAAGTAAAATTTTGGGTCAGATAAGGGATGTGCTGACCATATGAAAAAAAGTATATAAGTATTTTAATTGTGTGTCTGTCAGAAAATTCACTATAACTTTAATAGAACTTAATTTGGGAATGTTTTGCATGAACATGGAGTTGGTTGGTTGCTGAATATAAAAAGAATGGAATATGATACAAGTGAAGTATGCAGGAAGGTAAATATAATACTTAGTGAATAGCTCAGTACTGAACAGAGAATAATACAGTATATGGATTGTGATGGCCTCTTGGTTTAGTTTATTTATGGATAAATGTACCAGGAATGCTTGCAGTAATGTTAATTTGGGACATGAATATATATATGCTTTTTGTCCAGATGATGTATAAAATATATATCTTTAAGCAGATAATACCATGGCTGAGAATCTGAATGATTTTCAGTGAATATGACATTGAGAATTAGAAACAGAAAATTAATGTATCAAAAGCGTCTCATATTTGATAAATATGGTTGATAGTATAGAGTCTTTTGTAAGGAATAACTGTTAACAGTGCAAATGACTATGTATAAGTGATTTGTAAGAGATGTTGGGAGTGAATCACAAAACAACAAATGCATGAAGAAACATCAATAAAATAGGACACTTACTGAATGAAATTGATAAGCTCATCAAAAAAGGTAAGTTGAAAGAAGCAATTGATAAGTGAATTAAGTTTATGGGTCTAGAGAAAACAAAAATGATTTGTAAGCATGGAAATGTATGACAGGTGTTGGTTATAGCTATATTTCTTCCTTGTCATATATCTTTATTCCTTAAACTCATTTTCTGTGCTTCACATAATAATGTTGGTTATTTTGAAAGGGAACAGAATAATAGGTATATTGAAGTTAGAGACGTGAGAGATAAAGACATTTTTTACAAAATGATACTGTCCTTAAAACAAAAATTATGTCCCAAGAAGAGCAAAGAGAATGGCAACATTGCATCAAAATTTCATGAAATATCTAAACTGATTGTGCCATCAAGTTGGCTTCATTTATTTGCATATATTATCTAGAATTCTCTTACCAACCTGATAAATAACTAGTAATAAATAAAAAGCTACAACATAGGGATGGAAAATATTTGCCCTCATACTTTGTTAGCTTAAAACCAACTTCCAGGGTAGTTAATGGGTCAATCATCAGTAACTGGATGTAAACATGTTTGGAATAAATACATGTCTATAATCAACAAAATATAAAATATAAAATAATCATAATTAAAATGTAACAAAAAATAAAACCTTGAAGGGCAGACTTGGAGCAGTGAGTCTTGTTCTGCCATCAGTTTTCTATTTTTCTAGATCAATTCCAGTCAACATGAATTTGCCAGAGCAAATGCAGAATGTAATGTAGAAACGTGCCCATAGTTGCTCAGT